TACAAAGTGGACAATACCACAGAAGCACTGTCGGTGTTTGTGTTGAAGAGAAGCCTAGATTAAAAACACAGTGACCAGTGCTTTCCTTCAGTTTTCCTCCATCTTTTTGTAATAGCGGTAGTAGGTGTTCCACTGATGTGAGTAATGAATTTAATTATACGCTCAGATTGAAATGTGCTAATTAGAACTGAGCGTTTGGGCATCAGACGGTTGACTTGTTTCTACATGCCTGCCTTACAATAGATTTTAAATGTGATAATAGAGGACTCTAATCCAGGGGGAGGGTGATGGCTAAATTAGTGTTTTCACATTTCAAAATATGGTGCTTTAGCAGAAAGGACTTGGCACTCTTTTCCATTCAGTTGTATTTTGTTTAAGTGGGCGATGGAAGAAATTTGATGGATTTACATAATATTCCTTTTTTAATTCATTTAACTTTTACATTTTGTATACATCTTTTACAGGCCAGCAAGGGGAGAATCGGACAACGCTGGTGTTCTTCCTCGGAGGAGTGTCATATGCAGAAATAGCTGCTCTTCGTTTCCTCTCTCAAATGGAAGACAGTGGGATGGAGTATATTATAGCCACCACGAAACTCATAAACGGCACAACTTGGATCAAATCCCTGATGGACCGGCCTGAATCCCAGACCCCCTGAGTCACCTGCTTGTACACCTGGCCACATCAAACACCCCATCCATTCGAAAACCTCAGTGGCTGTTTTTTTATGTCCGTGTACTGCAGGTGTTTCATTGATGTCTGTGCTGGTTAAACAGCAACTGGTTCTTTAAAGGTGCCCAGTGGAGTTTTCTTGGAAACAAAGTTACGTTAACATTCAGTGTTACTAACAAAACGCGTTGTGTTTATCTTTGAGTTCTGACAAACATGTTGAATGCATTTCCTTCTTCATAACAACAAGCTGATTTTCTTATATATTTCACATCGTCCACTTTTACCATACATGTATTCTTGCTTGCCTTTGCTGGTGCTTTACTACGTTTCTTTGTACAGTACCACCACTAACTGCGGCTCAGTGGAATGTGTATCACATTGCATGATACAAAAAAAGTTGACCCACTTGTAAAAACAACAGAGTGCTTTTAGTGGTCATAAACTCCACAGGGTACCTTAATTTGCACCCAGAAAAAATAATATAAAGCTGGTTTAGTGCTACTGTTTATCATACAATCGCTTTCTCCCCTGGCTACATTTCCATCAATGAGGTCATTGCTTTATTATGGAGCCACTGTAAATATGTATGTATGTTTGTATGATTAAAATCTTTGAGATGATGTCATGCATAAGAGGATGAAAGGTGCACTCCTTTCGTAGGACATTTTCAGTTTTGTGTAGCTTTCGCTGGCATAATAGGTAAATAAAGTCTTAACAAGTGTAACTGATATTAGTCTTGAATTACGTGATCATGTGGGAAGCCATTTTACTGATGTTTAGTAGATCATTTTTCAGAAAGGCAAGCTGATTTTGATCAAGGAAAGCAGATGGAAGGCAGGGACGGGAGTGTATCCATCAGCAGCGGTCTTGCTCGCTGAAGGAGCAATTAGCGCAGTAACAGGCCTCAAGATCAGCCGGTAATGGCCCTGTGCTGTCTGGAGAGCGCAGCCCATGATTTGACAGCGCAGGACACTGATTGAATTAGGAGGCCATTTGCTCCATGTTCCGGTAGAGGATAACTGTGCCGCAGAAGGGTGTTTGATCTCTGTTTCAGTCAATACCTTCTCCGTGCCTTACAGCATGAACATAGGGAGACCTGCTGACAGCAGTCAGATATTTTAGTGAACTCAGCTCAAGTAAATCTACATTCATTTCTTCAATGTTGATTGGCTAGAAGACCTGGAAACTGCTTTGATTAAATTAATTAGAATACTTTTGTGGATTTTGCTTGATGGCCAAAATCATACACTGCAGTTTCTTTGTTTGAGGAGTTGGTGTACTGAAGACTTGAACTCCCATTAGATCAATCCCAGGGGATTCAGATCCTTGCGATCACTTATTGCTTTTGGCCCCTCCCCTGTCATAAGGGCTTGAAACGCTCACGGCAGCACACACCAACTTGGACTTCAGGGCTGGAAGCAGAGGAGCCCACTTTCTAATCAGCCCTGCTCCAACAACACCAAGGTATGATTGGTTTACTTTTTTTTTACTATTTAAATTCCGTCTTGTGGAGGTTTGTTATTCATGCATGTTTGAATTTTGTCTTTTTTTTGTTTAAGTCTGTTAAACCTTAACAGGACAAGATATTAACATGTTTTTAATAAGACAACTGACTAAATTGTACCTATGTTTCTTTTTAACTTTGAGACATTGCAAAAAAAACAGTCTATTTTTATCAGCACATGTTTCATACATGAGCTTGGCTGTTACTTCTGTATCCTGAGGAATAACTACTTCAAAGATAACATACATGAATGTATTAGATGTTACTTTCCCCTAAAAATATCTGACAGCAGTTTCAGGTGTCATGAAAGGTGAATCCTGGAGATGTTCAACAGTCTGTAATGTTTGTGACTATACACAAACAAAGCAGATCAATACTGAACCCATTTAGTGCAATTTACAGATACATTATTAATAGCGCTCTTGTGACAATGTAGCCTTCTCAGGCTCTACAAGGCTAGGAACAAATCAATCTGCACATCTAATAAAAATAAATTTGAACACATTTAATAATACATAACACACTAAAAACAATGTACTTCCTACTTAAATTAAAGTCACTGTTAAAGTTTTGTTTTCTATTCTGTTAGATTTCTGTATTCTTTGCAAAGCTGATTTCTTTTTTAATATTTTAACATTTGTTATCATACATGGTTTCTTGCTTGCCTTTTCTACGTTTGTACGGTGCCACCACCAACTGCTGAAATATGAGAAACGTGTGTTTGCAGAATGGGTCGAGGTGAGAAAATGGGACACCTGACTCAACCTGGTCGCAGGAAGAAGACTCAGCAGGAGCCTATGGATGTGGATCCCTTGTTAATCCGCTTCCTCCGGACATTCAGGGAAATCCTCAAATTTGTTCTCTTCAGCTATACGGTGCTGTTTGGTGCTTTGCTCCTTGCCAGATGGACCACTTATTTCATGGTGGGAAAGTAAAAAGAAACCGACTGTGGAAGAAAGAGCCTGTTCTTGGACTTGGAGCGCATTAATGAAGTTGATCATATGTAACTTCATGGGATTTGTGGTCTATGCAGTGCCTATAAATTATTCATGTCTCCAAACATGATCACAGCTGGAGTGATCATGTTTGTTTCCCTGTTTGATTTACACTCTGCAGTAGAGCTCACAGCTTTTGTGCATTTTTTTATTAATTAAACAGGGTGTTGCAGGCATATTGAGAATTATATTTAAAAACATTTTAAACAAGCCAGTTTGCATCAGATGTGATTGTTGACAGAGTTTAAATGTGCAATATAGAAACTATAATATCTGCTAAGTTGACCACAATGAAGCTATAAAACGTGTTTGTATAGTTGTGTGGCATACAAAAAAACAGTATTGTGTATTTTTCCATGGGAATTACGTATAAAGTTGGGCAAAAATGTTTATGTAAATAAGACATATCAGGAGTGGCAATGTCAGCAGGGGGACTGTTTCTCTGTTTTAGTGCTAATTTCTCCTGAATGAATAAGTGAAACAAAGCTGTCCCTTCTGAGCAATTTTGAACAAAGCACAATATAAACAGAAATGATTTGTGCCTTAAGCCTTAGAGTTGATATCTAGTTTTACGGCCTTTATTATTTCAATTTATTTTGTGCTTATATGATGCATAATCCCAAATAAACGTGTGATTAGTCAAATAACCAAACACTGGGGTGTCCCTGTGGTTTAGGGGTTACGATGCCGACCATGCGTAGCAATGTCCCCAGTTCGAGTCTGGCTTGGGGCCTTTTCTTGCATCTCTTGCCCTCAATTCCTGCTGTCTCTCTACTGCCACTATCTTCTTTACAGTTATTTAAATGAAATAACCAAAAACTGATGGACAGAGAGTGGGATTAAGCTTGCCAGTGGGCCCTCTTTGTGGACACAGATGATGATCTTCACATGTCACAATGGGAAAAGCACATGTAAATAATAAAATGAATGATGGCTGAATTCCATTTAGCAGCTTCAGTTTCCTCCTATTATTGTACATGCTGTCACACTGTCATGACTTACTGAGATACTTGAATAGAACAGAGCCATTGTTAATGTTATTAGTGACACCTGAGCTTTTACAGTTATGACAAGTCAAAATGTCTGTTGTGACAAAGGCCTCAAGGGGTCCAATGCAAATTTTTGCCCTTGGGCCCTGGTGCCTCAAGTTCAGTTTATATGGTTTCTATGGGAGCAGTTAGTTTGTCACTCACTTGTTACATCTGTGCACCAAGGCTGGCCTTTTCAGAGAGGCATCCTCCAAATATGATGTCCCCAAGGTGCAAGAAATTGGCAGTTGCAGGTGCCACCGGAAGACTTCCGTTTGTGGGGGGTGTTTTATGAGTGCAAACCATAGGCTATATATATATATATATATATATATATATATATATATATATATATTAACCCCCCCCACACACACTAAATTTAATGTTTTAATAACTGAGATGCAAGCAGCATCCAAAAAGTTAATTAAACAGTCTAATTTATATGTTTTACATTGACATACATATTATGAATGATGGTTGAATTACCTTTAGTTGCCATTTGAATTCAATCTAAAATAAAAATTATAAAAGTAAACCTTAATTTCCAAATTAAATCGTGTTCACGTTTACTGTGAAGCCAAAAACCAACCTTGCGTGAGCGGGTTAGTTCGATTTAATTCACTGAAACAATTCACATGGGCGGGGTTTAGCTATTTCAGGGTTTTGTAAAAAAGTCCTAAGGGTTTTTCACTGAAAATTAAACACGCGGTAAACCAGTTAACCATGTGGTGTCCCGGGACAGGAAAAAGACCCACGTCGCTGACGGAGTCATCCAGATTAAAATTGCATGATGCACCCTCACCGCTCTCTGTTTGTTGCTTGCTGAAAGCCGCCCGCGTTGCGCCATTTTGAAAGTGTAATGGTGGGAGAGGCAGAGGCGAGGGAAATCTCAAAGTAGAGTGCAAAGTCTACAATTCACTACGAAGGATTGTGGTTTACTTTCCCTGTTTGCAAACTATTTCGTGCTGTCTATATCGACTGGGCCGAGGACTTGCACGGTCTTCGGAGTTACTAACACCACTCTCCGGTTTATTCCTCCACGGCTCCTCGGTCAGAACCACCCAGCCGACCCGGGTCAGCACTGCTTCAGTCCAGGGCCCGAGCCCGCTACAGAGACACCCTCTGTCTGAGACGCTCACCATGGCAGGTAAAACTAGAGAGCAAAGACTGTCAGAGTATCTGAGGTTTAATTATTATTTAACAGTTACTATCCTGTTCAGTGCAGATGATGGGGTTGTCTCTGTTGTGATTACCCCGCAGGCTAGCTAGCAAGCTAGGATACTTCCAAGGTGCTAATTAGTGTAACGTTATGTCACCGACAGTGTGAAAGTGAGCGTTTTCGACAGTAAAGAGGCTGTAACTATTGCCTGTGCCTGGGTATATGTGACGCCATTTAAAATATGCATTAAGTATGTAGTCAAATGCGGCCTTGTTCTCATATTGCAGATTTTATAGCTAAGTTAGCACCAGGCTAACGCGTGCAAAGTTGTCTTTGATGGCGGGGTGTTAAAACTTGGGTTTGTGTTTCGTGCAGGGGCCGGTGGTGGGAACAGTGATGTGCAGTGGTGCTTTTCCCAAGTCAAAGGAGCAATAGACGATGATGTCGCTGAAGGTGAGTCCATGTGGTGGTCACTGAACATTTGCCAGCCTGTGATTGGCATGCTGAGCACGCTTGTTTTGAAGTTAGCTCCAATGCTAACTGCTACTCCCTGTTTGAGGTATCTGTGCATATCATGAAAAGCTATTTTAGAGCATTAACCTGATTACACTCAATTAAAAACGTCAGTGGGTTGGCTCATTCTTGCTGATAGTCCAGTAGGCCTTTACCGACTGGCGACTAGTGACAACATTCATCTATTTTTTACATAATTGCTGCAAAATGTCAACTTTTACAATTCCTCAGTGTTTTTGTCCAGTGTGTAAAGTAACAATCGCATGCGTGGGCATGAAATGCATATCACTCAGCTTTTACCTCTGCAGGACAATGGCATTTTGTAAACAAGTAGGAAGTTACTGAAGCAGTGCAGAATCACTTTGCTTGGGCTCAAACTCAAATGTGTGTTCACAGATTGCCTTAAGGTCCCACTTTCAAAGGGTCTGATTAGGCCAAAAGGAAAAGCCTTTGCTCAGCTCTGTCAGTAGGTCATATTCTGAGACTTCTACTGCAAACTTAATATGATCGAGGTGAAGGAAATTTTATTTGTTATGCTTAAAGCATCACAAAATTACATGTAATGAATGAAAACCTTGACAGCATAGTGTCTTTCCAGAAACGCTGTATTGGGTTCACATTCAGGACAGATTCCATTTCCTCAAGTTTTTACCTTCATAGGTACAAAAAGACCTGTGGTGGTTTCCTATTGTCCAATGAGTAAGTTCAGAAGTGCCCTAAACACTTATATTTACAGTACACGATGGACTTATTTGCGTGTTAAGGACTACACAGTTGTTTACTGTAAACTTTACCTGAGAACAAGTATAAATGCGATCCTCTCCTTTTGTCAATACACAGCAGTATACATAGGCAGAAAACTTAACACTATAATAGTGTAGCAGTTTTATTTTACTCCTGCAGAAATACACTCCTTCACTCTGCCCTCTTTTGCTGTGTATGAGAGTTTGTATGGAGTCAGGTCGTATCAGGCACTCTGTGTGCTGTGTTAAGAGCGGAACAACACCACAGTCTATATTAAGGATTGCACTAGCTCAGAATAGTGCCAGCCTTTAAACAGGGATTGATTGTTGTGTTATAGGATTTGATGAGAATGCTTGTCTTTTTTTAAAGTGCTGAATAGCTGTTCCCCCCCCTCCTAAGCGTGTTTAGTAGATGTTTATTTCCAGTGTGCCTGCGCACTGTAGTGTGTGTGTATATACATGTATGTCACTGCTCTGTAATTTTCACCATGGTTGTCATGGTTTTCACCACTCACAGGTGGACAAAACTGGAGCAAACGTACAATATCTTTTTGTGCATCACTGAGAGGAAATGAATTGTTCAACCAAGAAAACCTTGCAAACCAATGCAAAATATTTTCACATTTAACACACCACAAATTAGTGAACAGGCTCTCTTTTACAGTAGCAAATTACACTCTGAATGGGATGATATTCTAATTGCACTACCTTTTTGACAGCTGATATCATATCTACTGTTGAATTCAACCACTCGGGGGAGCTGCTAGCTACTGGGGACAAAGGGGGCCGTGTTGTCATCTTTCAGCAGGAACCAGAAGTAAGTTTTGGTGACTCATCTGACTAAAACTTAGGCTGCATTCACACTGCAGGCCTTCATGCTCAACTCAGATTTATTGCCCAGATCAGATTTTTAATATTTAATTTTTTATGTGATATCAGACTCCAGTGTGAACTAACCATAGCCTGAAAGTGACCCACATGCGCAAAATAATCATATGTCACACGTAGCATGCTGTCGTATGGAAGTAAAATTGGTTTTGCCACGTTTCCATTCAACCGCGGCTCCCACTTAGCACAGTATGGTGGTGATAGTTGCTCTATATTGACGTTAGTGTTGCATGGATTCAGATCCTACTGTCCAGACTCGTTAAAAAAAATCCAACCTGTATCTGATCTGGACTACATATAATATAAATGTCCCGAATCTGATCTGGAAAAGATGAGATTCTATGTGACTTTGGCTGTTCACAGTATTATAAAACAAAATCTGATCTGAGTCACACATGAGCAAAAAATGTCTGATTTGGGTCACTTTGGCCTGCAGTCTAAACGTGGCCCAAGTGTGTACAAACAGTGCAATAAGGTTGCACTTTTCACTTTATTCATAATTTATGCCGCAAATACCATTTGAAATCAAAAAACTAAAACCCCACTGTGACTTTTGACCACATTCATGAGCTGAAATGCCAACTCTTGCTCTCAGCATAGCTCTGTCTATCTTAATAATACTTTGTTATTGTGTATTATGCTTGTTGTAGTAGTAATAATAATAATAATACTTTTTTAAATTAACTCTGATCTGCGGGCTGTCATTGTTTAGAGTAAGAGTCAGCCACAGTGTCGAGGAGAGTACAATGTTTACAGCACCTTCCAGAGCCATGAGCCTGAGTTTGACTACCTGAAAAGCCTTGAGATCGAGGAGAAGATCAACAAGATTCGATGGCTGCCTCAGAAGAACGCAGCACAGTTCCTTTTGTCTACAAATGGTTAGTAAACGAGGATAATAATTCAATTGCTTCACTGTAGTAAATTTGAGCTAAAACCTTTCCATTTGGCAGCAAGAAATCAAAATTTACACATTTTCTTCTGTTACTGAAGATGAGTTTTTCCCTGATGTCCGCTCTTGCTCATTGGCAGACAAAACCATAAAGCTGTGGAAAATTAGTGAGCGTGACAAGAGACCGGAGGGCTACAATTTGAAGGAAGAAGATGGGCGATACAGAGATCCCAATACAGTCACAACACTACGGGTGTGTATAGTTGCATTATCACTGTCCCAATAATGTTCCACATGTATGTATTATTAATTATGTTGTTATTAGCCTTTGTTTTTAATGTCAGATTTGTAATTGTAAGCTACAGTTGGGCCTCTGTGCTGGCGATGAAACAGTGAATAAGACGCATGCCTCTATTGTGAGAGACCTGGGTTTAATCCCCCACTGTGACACATCAACCGATGTGTCCCTTAGCAAGACACTTTACCCCTAGTTGCTCCAGACGCGTGCGACCTCTGACATACTTAGCAGTTGTAAGTCGCTTTGGATAAAAATGTCAGCTAAATGAATAAATGTAATGTAGTTTCCAAATATACACTGAGGCTAGACTATTTTTTTTTTGTTTAAGACTATTACTGTTTGTGTCCTTTTTATTAGTGAAACAGATTTCCCCCCACACTACCAACAAAATATAGAATATTGCCAGACTTATGCACAACCACAGATTTGTTTGTGCCTAGTGGAAATAATTAATGTATTTTATAAAATAGAGGACAATTTGATGACCACACAATTTAATGTATTTTGTCTAAAAATAAAGTGACACTAACACTGCTCCTCTCCTCAGGTGCCAGTATTCAGGCCCATGGACTTGATGGTGGAAGCCAGCCCTAGACGAGTGTTTGCAAATGCTCACACCTACCATATTAACTCCATCTCAGTCAACAGTGATTGTGAGACATACCTGTCTGCAGATGACCTGCGCATTAACCTGTGGAATCTGGAGATCACAGATCGCAGCTTTAGTATCCTTTTGTTGTGTAATTGCATGCAGCCACTGTCTTCTGTACGTCTCCTGACATAAGTTGTCATAGTTATTCACATAGACTTTAATTATCTCACCTGTGGAGGCTCGTACAAATGGCTTCCATGTGTTTTTATAATTGGGCTTTTTAGTTTCTAAGCAGTAACTGTTCTTGTTAGTTGGAAATGCTATGTAAACTAATGAATGGTATGTCCAGGTAACTTTAGTTCTTTCATTGAGGTAGCGTTGACTCACTGTCAGATTATGATCCTCTGCATGCATCCTGTTCACACATCAGTCAGATTGGTCAGACTGTGCGTCACTCAGTCACTGCAAAAACTTTGACCTTAACCTCACTTCTTCAGATATTGTTGACATTAAGCCAGCCAATATGGAGGAGTTGACGGAGGTGATAACGGCAGCAGAGTTCCACCCCAATCAATGCAACACTTTTGTCTACAGCAGCAGCAAGGGCACCATCCGCCTGTGTGACATGAGGGCATCAGCACTGTGCGACAAACACTCCAAACGTAAGTCAGTTACATTTATTGCTGTGTGCATGCAGGGGAGCTGTTGAATTCATAAGGGTGTCTGTGATATGCCTAAGGAAACTGTATGATAGACAATTTAAAATGGAATAGATTATGCTGTACAGCATATAGACAGCATATTTATGCAGCACTAAACAGAAGTTTTAGTAAATGCCTTGGTCACATCCCACATTGATTACTGCAATGCAATATTAGCAGGCATCCCTAACAAACTTATTCACCTCCTACAACTCATCTGAAACGCTGCAGCAAGTCCACTGAACATATCACTCCTGTTGATACAACTACACTGGCTCCCTGTTAATCAAAGCCCTCCACAATCTGTCTCCTACTTATCTCACTGACCTCATTCAGACCTACACGCCCCCCCCCCTCACAGGACTCTATTACAAAATTCAAAACTCATTTGATTGTCGATGTCTTCATTTGATTTACTTTTTGTTTTGTTTGTTTTTATGGTGTTTTAATGATGCTGTGTAGTATTGCTGCTTGTCATATTTTATGACATACGGTGACTTTGAGTGTCATAGTGGCTGTAGTATCTTTATCAACCTGCACGGATAAAAATGGCATTCAAATACCAGACAACTTGATTGGGAGGTAGCTTTTTATTTATTTTTTTACGGCTGAGCTACAGCATCTGCTGCAGTCCTGAGGAGAAGTCTTAATTAGTGAAGCACCATACTGAGCTGACAAGTCTGGTAAAAGGGTGTCAAATACCATTATCAACACGTACACACTTTCCCGAAGTCTAATTAGATAAACGCCATGCTGTACACCTGTGTCAGCTCAGTCCTGTCAAAGTTGTGTGGGCGACATGGAAAATGTCTTTATTTAGACAGTTGTTGACCAGAAGGAGTTTTACAAAGCGAGTTGGTGCAGGAGTTTGTAAATATGTTTATTAAATGTGTGCACAGAATTTATATTAAAGGAGGAACCTTGAGCAAAAGTGATACGTTTGCCAAAATTTGAGACTGAGAGCGCGGCCAGAACATGAGGGCGTCCCTGCAGTGACCACAAGATTAAAACTGAGCTGTATACGTTGCTGCATTAAATTAACACAGCAATATATATATATGATTATATCATTACAATTAATGGCAGTATATACTAATGATATGCATCCTTTTCTTTAAGTGTTTGAAGAGCCAGAGGATCCAAACAATCGGTCATTCTTTTCTGAGATCATCTCATCCATCTCTGATGTAAAATTCAGCCACAGTGGACGCTACATGATGACCCGCGACTACCTGTCAGTCAAAATCTGGGATCTCAATATGGAGACCCGGCCAGTAGAGACATATCAGGTCTGTAACGGTCCCCGTGCTAAAACAGAAATAAGGTTACATTGGTTACATTGGCATCTTCATTCTACTGTCTCCACAAGAGGGAGGTGTTTTACAGAAGTCATCATTGAAATATCCAGATGTCTTGATATTTTATTTTCACTTTTGCACAACTGTGTATTATAACTACACCTCCTCTTCATCCCTTTCTTTTAACAGGTGCATGAATATCTCAGGAGTAAGTTGTGTTCGCTCTATGAGAATGACTGCATCTTCGACAAGTTTGAGTGCTGTTGGAATGGGAACGACAGGTGAGTATCCATATTGTATGCGTTGCCAGATTAGAAAGATGCCCAAAATTTCCTCTTTGGCTTATTTATCATGCTATTGGAATTCCCTACACGTTCAACATGTAGGACATGCAAATGTTTTGGGCTGACCCCATCAGCACTGACCTTATCATGTACTGTGCTTATCTGCCTCATGCAGAACATGAGTATAGGGCTTAGGCGGTATCAATGTTTTACGTTAACCGGGGAATTCAGAAATCCCAAAGGTATGATTTTCAATATTGTCAAGAATACAGACACGCCTCTTTCTATTCAACTGATACGGAGAGGCTGTATTAAGGTTAGGGTTGATTGAATTTAAACAGTTTTGCAATGTTTAAGTGCTAGAACCTTGCCTGATGATGGTGGGAGTATGTAGGAGTTTAACTTTTGATCCGCTAGTCACACTCTTATGCACCTGTCTCACGAAATAGATGTGCGAAGTATTCTTCTGTTCAGAATTTTCCAACTTGCTGCTGTCAGGCCAAAAGCCAGTGTTGGGCAAGTTACTCAGAAATTGTAATGTTTACTAGTTACTTATTACTCCTTAAAGAAGTAATAATATTACTTCACTTATTACTGGGTGATAAAAGTACTCATTATGTTAAAATATTACTTTCACTACCCTCCCCCCAACAAAACAGTCTCCTGACTTTTTAACTAATATCATATTTTTAACCGCAGCAAGGTGTGTTTTTATAAAGCAAGTAAATCCCAACTTGAGCTACTGTTTTTCTGCACATGTATTTATAAGAGCAGTATTCAGTATTTTTACAAAACGTTACGTTGCTTAATGCCACTCTCCTGACGAGTGCATGCATCACTGGCAGTAGCAGCTGGAGTTTCTTTTCATAAGTTTTACATTGCTGTGCTGCTTTAGCAGATGCTACAGTAAATTGGATGTAGAAATGTTCACGATTAAAAGCTTTTTGCTTGTCGCACAAAGTTTACAACGGCCGATAATTTTCTTTGCATATTAATGGTGATACTTGTAGCTGTAGAAAGAACGCCTGTCTCCATCGTTCTCCATTCTTCCTTTTAGTTTTAGTTTCTAACAGCCGAATTGAACAACTTATGGTCCGGTCCTGCTGACCTGCAGCGCAGTCGTGCATTCACGTCAAGTATGGTCTGTTCAGTAACGCAGCGTTACTTGGATTAGTAACTGTAATAATATTACTGTTTTGGAAAAGTAATCTGTTACACTACTAGTTACTGGGAAAAGCAGTAATTTTACATTAACACGTTACTGCCCAACACTGTATGATTTTAATAAAAGACTAACTCATTTAATCAGATGAATTACTTTATTCAAACTGAGAATTAGTTATAGAATTTGTTTTTTTATTTTTCCTAAGATGATTGTGTCAGAAAGTATAAGTATATATCAAAGTGTAATCTGAAAATTGCAGTAGAGGCATGGAATGTAAACTTCATATCACATACCCCGGTGAAATCAGTCAGAAAGGTATTACAAAAGAGATATCGGCCAAGCCTTTTAAGCGACTTACTTTATGTGGCAGAGGGGGATTCTGTACATACTCCTGGTTGGGGTTCGTGGCAGAGAACAATGCACTTGTGGCTTTTTAAATTCATTAAATCTCTCTGTCTCTGTCTGCAGCGTCGTGATGACCGGTTCCTACAACAACTTCTTCAGGATGTTCGACAGAGGCTATCGGCAGGACGTAACCCTAGAGGCGTCACGGGAGAACAGCAAGCCACGATCTGTCCTTAAACCTCGCAAAGTAAGCACAGGTGGGAAGCGCAAAAAGGATGAGATCAGTGTAGACAGTCTGGACTTTAACAAGAAGATCCTCCACACTGCCTGGCATCCTCTGGACAACATCATTGCTGTGGCCACCACCAACAACCTGTACATATTCCAGGAAAAACTGAACTAGCATTTCATGAACCGCTCAGATCCCAGTTTCCGCTTGAGCCCCACTGCTCTGATACACACATAGAAACAATATCTGTCCGTCTTTGGCTAAATCTCTGAGGCTTGATTGATCTTCCCTTTATGATTTTAGTATTGAATGTGACAAGACTTACTCTGTCAACAACAGTGGCATTAACCCAGTATATCCACACAGGCCATCACAAGCTCATTTCCATATGTATTACAAATATAAACATGCAGATCTGAGTCCAGAACTTGGGATTTAGTTTCATGGATTTTCTCCATTACGAGCACTCCATTCACAAAGCTACCGTTTGCAACTCTACTACATCCCAAACCAAAGGGGAAATGTGTGAAATACACACATTTGGCTAGTTTGTTTCCGTATTCTTTTGTGCCATCGTGACATGATTCATTTGTGTTGTTGCTACCACTTGTTAAGTTTTTGTAGCTACCATGTTTTATTAGTTTGAAATAGGAAATTCTTTCTACTGTTTATACTTCTTTCTGTCACCAAGTTCCTTTTCGTACTGACCTGAAACACTAATACAAGCTGTCAACACTCCATATTTGCCCCAAGTTTTTGTCAAGTTGCCAAGCTCATTCAACTCTTCTCTCCTTATGTACAGTACAGTTATGCTGTTAAAGGACTATTCTAGTGTTATAAAACGTTTTTCATGTCGTTTTCTACAAATAGTGAAACTTGCATTACTGCTAACCTTTTGTCCACAGCGGACCAATATTTATTAGATCCAATTTTCAAGTCAGCCACTACTTTACATTAATTTCTCTACAGTAAAGAAAGTCACCTTACTTGAAACCGACTTGACTTGTATTCCATGGCAGTGACCTTTTTGTTGTCTTTGATTAAGTCAAAGTAATTGTTTGGTGGTAATGCGGTTGCAAGCAGGAAAGCTCAGTGTGTTCAAGTGTACCAAACCAAAACCTAAGACTGTATGTTCACTGAGATGGATTACTTATCTCAAACAAGTTTCATGCCTGCATTATTGTGTACTGAAATGTGAAATTTGGGGAACTGGTCAGCAGTAATGTATGTCATTTCTAGGTAATGGCCAAAAACATAAATATGAAACAACAAAACACCAGAGTTGTCCTTTAACATGGACACAAAAATGGCGTGCGCACACATTTGTCAGGTATGGTGTTTTGAGTTAAATGGGGGCTAATCATGCCAGAGTAACCAGTTCTACACTCTAAGGTTAAACTCGTTTAAAGCTGTCCTCCCGCTGGTCAGACTGGACATGTGTGGACCACTATGTAAAGCTCAGGACAAAAGCTTATATACGTGGAAGGGCATAATGGTGTGATGTAGCCTGATTGTTTCATGGTCTGTGGCACCAAACTGAGTGCTGCTGCCAGGGTCCCCACAAAGCCTGTTGTGGTGTTAGATTGATCGACCGCTTTACCCTCTGGATCTAGTTTTTTTTTTTTTTTTTTTTTTTTATGTTTTGTACTGTACCTGATGATAAAAGAATAATCACTATAGCTGATTTATTTTTGTATAAATTAAGGCAATAGGATTACAGTCTGATCACTGTAGTTTCTTTAGCTGTCTGTCTCGGGCTGATTGTAGATGGCAGGTTGCCTGGTCGGGTCACCTTTTAGTCATGACTTTGGGATATTTTCTTTATTCCTGCAGGTATTTCTTTAAAAGATGAGACTTTTTGTGACGTCAAAGTGTGTCGTTTCTCAAGTGGGATGCCCAAAGAAAAGTATTTTCAGGTGTCGGTACCTCTGTAGTCGTAAGCACTATAACAGTTTATTTTTTTAATTTGGCAGACTGTGACTGCTGTTTATGTAGAACTTTATTTGGAGTTAGATTCTGAGTTAATTTGGATCTTAACATTCTGTTTTTGTGCCATGGTTTTGTTTATGAATCCTTTTGCTCGCTGTGAAAGATTAGGACCTTGTAGGTCTAAATGAGAAAGGCATTTTAATCAACATGTTATGTTAAAACTGTTAATCACGTTCTCTAAAGGTAGTCAAGTCAGTTGACTAGGCAGTTACTGATTTTTAATTATTGTATGGAATATCTTCTCTCTCCTGTGATGCAGGATAATACATACATGTTGGCTTAAAAGGGAGAGTTTGTGAAACATTTGGTTTGCAGATGATTGTTGTACGGCAGCCGTCATTAACAACTTTTTTTGAAATAGTTGTATTGAAATAGTTTCTCTGCTTCAGTCACATGCTGCCAATCCTCTTCTGGAGCAAACCGGTTGATTATAGCACAGTTTTCCACTTCACTGAAATGACTTTTTTTAAGACCTATTTAGCCATTGAATCAGGGCATGAAGCTTATTGGTCCATTGGATCATATTTATGTAAGTTAATGTGTCACTCCTGCCTTAGAGAACTTATTTCCAATCACTAGGATGCCACCAAAATAACCACCCATCTCCAGATGGTGGTGTAAGGCTACTGCTGAGTGTCACTCTCTCAGGGCTTTGGGTAATGTCCTTTTCAGTAATGATGCTTATTTTGCAACCTTTTGAAACTTTTTCTTTGTCTAATGCAAGATTGTGTGAGGGTCAGTCAACTTATTTTCCTCTTGTCATATATAAATAAACCGGTGTAATGTGGCACCTTTGTCCCATTCCACAGTCAAGGATGATACAGTCAATTAGCCACCACCAACAAGAAGTGCTTTCCATTCAAAATATGAGATCAGCTATCAGCCTCGTCCCGTAATTCATCCAAAGGAAACATCTATTCACTCACTAATTGTTCAATAACCATTGTTCTTACAACCTGGAAGATGATAGAAATGTTGGAAAATGCAAAAATCTGTGTAAAAAGAAAGTATCAAATTTGAATTGGCACTTTTGTTTTTGAAAATATCTTGTTACATTGGCTTTTTTAAAAATCTAATCTTTGCAGAGGCGGTCATCACCGACTGTACGAGTGTCAGAGAATTATTGAATAAACGGTCACTGATGTTCATAGATCTTTGTCACTTTCCCCTCATACTGTCTTCATAGCTGTTGTTCACGGCTGTGGTGTAAACCGCAAAGACATTTAGAAGAACCCTAATGCCTTTCTTATAGCATAAAGAAAAAATAAGATAATCAAGTATGTTTCTTGAATTTTTCAGACAGGAGACTGCTCAGGGGACTTAACTGCTGCTCTGTGATCAAAACCTTGTACCTTCAAGGGGGGGGAAAAAAAAAAAGCAGCTTTTCAGGACTTTATTAAAAACTGCCTTATTTACAGGTAGGGTATACACCTTTTGAAATTAAAGTTGCTATAATTGCTTTTGAACATGAACCTTGGGTCAACGTAACGTGCCCTCCACATACAAAGGATCATGAAATCTCAAGGAAAGTGTCTAAATTGGAGTTATGAGGTTTTTCCACTTGAAGCAGCATTATATACATGTCTAATGTATCACAGGAGTAAAAACAAAATGCACTTTTTATTTTTGTGAATTTCTTTAATTTCTATAGTTTTGTTTATTTCTTTTAAGGGACTCTTGAATAAAGATTGTAGGAGAGTTTTGGTGATCTGTTGGGGGGGGGGGGGCTACAAAGGGTTCAATGTACAGCAATGTTTGTCTTTGTCAAATTGAATAAAGTACAGTTTAGATGAAAAGTAATAAAGAATTTCAAACCTGACTTCTGAATAAATATTTAACTGCTTTATGGCTTGTTTATGGAAGATAATGTGCTGTAAATGTAATGCCTGTTTATGACATTTCTTCACCAAGGCAGAGTTGCTGCAGTGCTCTCAAAAGTAGCAGTAGTAGTATTTTCAAATCCCTACCGTGATGCCAGACTGTGCTGCTAAAATGATTGTCTAAGAATGCATTTACCAAATCAACGCAACCCTTCTGACCATGATGACTTCTCCAAGATTCAGATCTCAGGAGCAGAGAGATGCCACAGATGACTCCATTTGACCGTTAGCAAGTACTTTTCCAAAACTGTATATAGTTTTATGACCGCAGTAGAGGTCTGGAAACCTGAAGGCATCACACGCTGCCTATCACTGTACGTGATATGAAAATACATCATCTGGCATTTATTTAGCTTCCTGCAAAAGAAACCCCCCATAATTGTCTAATTTATAATCCATCACCAAGGCCCTTTATGGAACTGCAGGAGGGGTGATGTACGTATAGCCTACTATAGACACATCCTCTACAAATCCAGAGGAAACACTGCTAATGGATGCCTGCCTGCCTGCCTCCCCACATTAATAGTTCTGTCCAGCCAAGGCAGCACTTATTGGAAGAGTGAGGGATAGGGGCCAGCCTTACTGTTATCATCAGTCCTCAAACACTGTACCGACTCCACCCAGGTCCTGCACATCAGCTAGTCAGGACCTAATGGTAATGCAAATGTATTTCAAACAAACCTTTAGACTTGTTTCTTTATCACACTGTCATGCGTAACATGCGCATGATATTAAAGTTTGTTGTAACTCAGTCTTGCACATTTTAGAAAAATGAAATAACCATCACTGATCTAGAGCCCGCTGCTGCCTCTCTTATCTGTCTGCGGTCTGGACTCTGGACAGAACTTGCGCCTGCGCACAGCGTAGTTTGTGTGCGTGTCATGTTGATGAATGCTAAAACGGGGTAGTCAACATGTCCACCGCTGCTGCTCAACGAAACAATAACGAAGAGCCCGGGCTTCACGGTACGTACCGCCGCCAGTTTTTCAACAAAGGCCACTTTATATATTCTTAATGAGTGTGCATGTGTGTGTGAGAATATTCCTGTAATGGAGATTTTATTGTAAAAGTTACATCGGGTATTTCCTCTTCTTCTGGGAGGGGTGGCGGGTGATGTTGTTTGACGTCACCGCAAGCAAGCCAATTGCGTTGTGACAAATTTTTGATGGATGGAATGGCAGCCAATCACGTACACGAATATGCCTTGGGGGCGGCCTCTAGCCGAAATGAAAACAAGTTTGGGACAATAGACGAAATAAATGGTGCTTTTATTCGCGACTTTTTATTCATATTGTCTGATAATGGGTCGTATCGCTCTCACACCTTGTGTAGTCGCGTTGCCTTTTAATTCAGACAGACCACAGACGAAGTAAATAAATTTTAATGCTACTGGAAGACAATGGTAGCTCAAGTGCCTGCAGACTAACAGCTCCTAAAAACCAACAACATTAAACTGGCCAAAGGGTGTGTTCAGGCTAGAATCGATAAACATTTTTTTAAAGACTAAAACAGTAGCTCGCACAAAGAATCGGGACGTGCGCTTTATATGTCACAACATCGCAGCTGGAACAGCGACATGTCTGGTCAGATTGTCTCTCACTGCACTCCACAGTTATGCAAGACCTCACATGAGAGCAGCATTGATGACAAACTCGTGTGTAAATGTGCACTCGGTCATGCATACGTGCGTCGTCGAAAATATATAAATTAGGTTTTATTTTTAGCAAGCCATAAAACGGGGAGGAAAAGGCGTCTCGTGCTATCACGAGGTTTACATTCTGTGCTCACCCGAGCAGTAATGGATTACATAACCCCCATCCTGTCTGGGGAAGAAAAAAAATCTAGCAAGCTGTTTGTGGGGCAGTGGCACAAAGAAATGCAGGCTATCATGGATGCAGTGCACAGCCAGGTTATTTGAATGCACAGTGTCAGTGGTGCAGGAAATGTAGGTCAGCTGTTTCCATTTGAAAGGATACTGGGTGTGTTTCTGTGGGGTACTATCTGATGTTAGCTTTGCACTTTTAACACAACAAGCTTATTATTACTTCCTTCCCTCCTCTTTATTTTTGTGTTGCCAAGGCTCTTGGGTAGAGCTGGAGCTGAATGGAAACACAGGGGCCCAGGGCGTGCAGACCAACCTGCCAACAACACCTGCTGCAGACCAAATAAATGCAAATGCTGGCATGAGTCAAACTCTGCAGACCTTGGAAGTGGTGCCTGAGAATGATGAATCCCTGATTGGAGGACTAGAGCATGTGCCGTCGTCCTCCTCTATCCACAATGGAGACATGGAAAAAATCCTCCTGGATGCACAGCATGAATCCAGCCCGAGTAGCTCCTCCTGTGATAGGTAGGAGTAAAGGCTATTACAGGCTCTTTAAAGGTCAAACAAGTGTTTGTTGTCACACATTTGTTTTTCATTCAAATATGTTGTGTCAGTCCTCACAGGCCACCAAGTCCAGATCAGGATGAGGGTCAGATAACTTTCGATGTGGAGATGCCCAGCCCAAGAGGCAGTCAGGTAAAACAACATATTGAGCTCTGAAGTTCACCGTCTTATTAAGTCTTCATTTTACCCTAAAATGTAATTTCTTTACCTCCACGTGTACAGTCAGAGGAAGATGGTCCAGAGCAGGACAGAGAGGAAGACATCCTGCTAAACAAAGATGTAGACTGGGTCTCTGATTGGTCCAGCAGACCAGAAAACATTCCACCAAAGTAAGTAGACTCACCTCCAGAAACAGTCACTAATAGCGGATAACAATATTGATTTAAGTTAGCATTAATTGGTTGATTGATTATTCCTATCAGGGAGTTCCACTTCAGACACCCCCGACGTTCAGTATCTCTCAGTATGAGGAAGAGTGGGGTCATGAAGAAAGGTGGCATCTTCTCTGCTGAATTCCTCAAAGTCTTCATCCCTTCCTTACTCATCTCACACATCCTCGCTCTTGGCCTCGGGTAAGTCGGAATTCATGCAGTTTTATCTTCATGCAGGGACATATTGTAAGTTCATTCATGGATAACCCCTTGAGATGAACCATCTATTTTTCAAGGGGGTCCAATAATGCAAATAATGGACATAATGCAGTTTGGTTTTGAAGAATCGAAAAAGTTATATTTTCCTCTGCCTACACTGAGTTTTTTTATTTGCCTGTGCCAGTTTGCCTGTGCCAGTTTGGTATTTTAGTGACTCATGATGTGCCGTAGGAGAGATCAGTATGGGCTGTGCCAGTCAGTTTGTCAGTGCACTGCTATTTTGGTGTCCAAGATGACTGCAATTTATGTCTGACACCTATCTGTTTAGACCTGGTCCTCATGTATAAAACAGTGAAAGTGGTTTGTTTCACACTGTTTCCAAAATGTGTGTATGCATTATCCTATTTGTTTTTAACTGGTTTGATGTCATGAATTTTTCTTTCTAGGGTGTACATTGGGAAGAGAATTGCCACAGCCTCCACCAGCTCCTACTGAAAGCAGTGCCTGGATGTTCTCCTGTCTCAAAGTCTCTCAACCATCCTCCTGTAGTCAAGCTGTGTCTCTGCATCTATTGTACGCCCACATTTCTCTTCCAATCAGCATAAAATTCTGTCACATTGTAGATGTAGTTATAGAGTTATATGACATGACGTAATGTGGCTGCACTCTATCACATTTTGACACAGGGCAACATTGTACCCAGCAGTTGTCACTAACTTGAGTTCAGTGGACAAAAGACCCTGTTAGAGCTGGAAAATATTAGTCATCCTGTTCAACTCAAAAATATGTGACATGGATTTGATGTCAGGTGGCTTCAGGGTTTCTTTATTTGTTTCGATTTTATGTCATGAGAAATCTGGCCTTCTCCCAAGCTACATCTCTCCACTGGTGTCTCAGTAGGAGTGTATAAACCAAAAATATGCGCCATGTCTGCAATACAAACAAACTGAATTGGCTGTGGGAACAGAAAGGACTTCTATCGCCTTAACTTTTTAGACTAAACATTCAAGGTGCAGTTATTTGGGGGAGGGGTGCGTCACAGTGGGATTTGTTTTTAAATTCCACACCTTTTTGAGAAAAGAAGTTGTATCACGCTGACTCCTGTGGGTTTCTTTTAAAGGCTTTGTTTTGATGAAGGTGGGAAAGCTTAAACATTGATCTAGTATGTAGCTCAAAAATTTTACAGTGGGGTTGTTTGAGTGCGAGTGGAACCTAGGCTGCATGGCAACTTACCAGGCCATATGCTATTTTTAATTCATTTTGCCTACATATCTTTTTAACATAACATAGCAGCATTGGTAAAGTGCCAAATCTTTCACCACTGCACATTGGTGATTTATCTTAGACTGTTTATTTCTGATATGTTTAGGTATTTAAAGATGTAGATGTGAAACATAATTTAAGCTGTGATCTGCCCCATGTACACCTTTTTACATTGTCTAATTTGTTTGTACATTGATATTAGTGCATATAATATCATTGTTATTATATAGCATTGTGGCAGTGTACGTAATGTGTTTTTCCTGTCGTTTATTGCCGAAGCGTCAGTGGCAGAAACCACCAGAGGAAGGTATTTCCAGGGGCCTCATTTAAGAGTTATCTGACTTTTATGTAGATTACACTGTGCAATCATTTCACATAATAAGATACAATAAACAGTGTACAGTGTGTGTAGAACTTCCACAGAAAGTAAAGGAGCATTTCCTGAAGAAAATGCATGTGCTATCAGTATATTGATGCTGAGTTAATTATTGGATGATTCTTCTGTCAGTATTTATAAATGGATGACATTATAGACTATAATGTGCAGTTTTGGAAGTATTGATTCAACATTCAACATGTATTCAGGCTTTAATGCATTATATAACTCATACTAACTTATAAATGACATACCATCATACCAGGCTTATGTACAGTTGATCAATGTGCAATACAGCGTTTTGGAATTTGAATAAAGTTT